GTGTAAAATGAGGATGCGGAGAAAGGGTATTTAATTAAAGAAAAGTTTCAGAGTTAGTTATGTCTAACAAAAAATTGAGAGCAAATTGCAGGTTGACTGGTGATGAAATAGTTTACATTACTTGCGCCGTGATCTTTGGAGGACCATCTCTCCCAACTTTATATGCTCATATATTTCGACTAATCTTCATATATTATGACGATTTCATTTTAAAACAAAGAGATAAATATGGAAAAACTGTCTATTTCCCCACGAAAACTATGGCATATGCATATATGTCCACCAAACTTTACCCTCTGCACAGAACTCCCTCAGACGAAACTTAAATGTGTATATATCCTCCAAAAGAAAATTAAATGCATATTTCTCCACCAATTTAATTTTGATCGGTTTCTTTGTTAACCCGAGACGAAACCAACAACTGTAAAATAACCGAGTCATAATACCCGATCCATTGTAAAAACCCAATCCGTTTAAAAGCCCTAAACCCGTTTCTACATTGAAGAATCTCGTTGGGTTTTTGTTGTGTTTCGTTGATTTCGATTCGGATTTTTGGAGAATTTAATTAGCGATTTCTCGAAATGCTTTGGATTAGGAGATTCTCTGGGTTTTTCTCCGCCGCAATGGCAGTGATCGTTTTATCTTCGTCGCTTCAATCATTTCCTCCATCGGCGGCAATCCGTTCATCGCATCTCGACTATTACCTCCGAACTCAACCATCGGATCGGAGTTTGTTATCCTTCAGAAAATCCCCTTCGTTTCGTAATGCCGACGAATGTCTCTCCTCCGGAGTAGATTCCAGTTCTGTAATCCTTCGTTGGTACACATGGCGATCACACTTGACATCGAGTACCTACGTGGCTCAATTGCAGCCGTTAATTCCAGCCGACAATTTAATTAAATATTTCTGTACTTACCTCAGATTTCAATTAGATGGGGAGTCATATCGTGAGAATTGGCCCTGTAAAGTATGGAATCATATCCTCTTTGGTTTCAATTAGATTTTACATTTGAAATTTGGGGTTTTATGTTTCTTTAAATTTCTCAAGTTTCAGTTGAATTGTTCAAATTTGCAGAAGATTTTGCTGGGGTTTAGCCTTTTGTTCAAAAAGTTATCTCCTT